GAGTTTAGGGCTGTTGTACATAGGGTCGCTATGAGTTGCAAGCGACTCGACGGCACATAACAACAACAATTTTTGTTTTGCTTTGTTTTTTATAATTTGGACAGAAGAGTAAGGTTGCCATTTTCCATGATAAAAGAACATGTTTTGTTGTGTTTTTTTTGGGGGGGGGAAGCAATGGAATTGAGTATTAAACTTGAGATAGCGCTTACATTTTATGTGGCTAAAGATACTGAGTAGGCAGTTAGATGAGATGTCTGGGCTGAGGATTACACTTGGATGTTTTTGGCACATATTTGTCATTTAAAGCCATGGGACTTTATGGGATCATCACAGTGATAAAAACATGAAAGAAGAGGTCTGGGTCTACACTCAGGATACATCTGGATACTGAGATACTAGAGGTCAGAATCAGCAAAGGAGAATGAGGAGCAGTAGTCATGGAGGTGGACATTCAAGAGAATAGTCTTCTAAAAGCTGGATGAAGAGTGTTTCAGGAATGAATGATAAAGAGAGAGAACGGACTCCGTGATTGCAGAGCCAGAGTGACAAAGGGCAGTAGATGATTTAAAAGAGGTTATGAATAAGTGTTTAGAGTTGATGAATAGATCGTATCAAAGCATAATATTGTAAACTTTATACAGTTTATTAGTTACAATTCAGTAAAGGTATTTTAAAAAAAAATTCATGATTTTTTTTTTTTAAATAATGACTAGTTGTCACATGCTGCTAATAGATCAACTAAGAACCTCATCTTGCAACTCAGGGTGTTCATAGGAAATAACAGTATTCTTGGTGACCTTACCTGGAATGCAGTCAGTGAAGTTCTGGTCACCCTAGTGGGGTGTGTGTGTGTGCTAAAGATGGGATGGGAAGAAAGATTGATTGATAAAAAGGAGAGCTGAAAAGTGATACTGAGGACAGATGAAGCAAGACCAAAGTTTTTGTTTGTAAATAGAAATAACAACTTGAAAAGACAGCTTATTTTTATGTTGTTGGAAATTGATCAACTGAAGGGAAGAAAATGATGCTACATGAAAGAAAAATTGTGAAGATGAATTGCTTTCTCATCTTCTGCCATGAGTCTCAAGAAACTGTTGTGTGCTGTAGAGTCGGAACCAACCTATAGCTGCCCTTCAGCAGGTTTTCAGAAGCAGTCAACAGCACAAGAGGAGATTGCCCATCCTTTTCCTGCAGGACAGCTGGTGGCTTTGAACTCTGTGCCTTTGGGGTTGCAGTACAGCTTTTTGCCTCTAGGTCACCAGAGCTCCTCAAAAACCTAGCCCAAATTTTAAAAAATACATTTCCAAAACTCTAGGATATGCTTTTTGTTTAGTCATTTGTTTTAAAACTGTAATTAGGTGCTTATGAGTAGACTATGATTCATAGTGGCCATATAAGCAACAGGTACGACATTTTGCCCTATATTCTGATATTCTGTAGATTTTTAAAAATTGCTTTTGTCAGTATCCTTACACACACACATACAGAGACACACACACATTTGATGTTATTGCACTGGGAAAATCTGTCAGGGACCTTTCTAAAGTGCTAAAGAACAGTGTTGTCAGTTTAAAGACTAAGGTAAACCTAATTTTAAGTCATGGTCTTTTTAAGTACTTGTTATGTATCTAAGGTTGGACAATAAATAAGGATGATGACAGAAGAAGACTCACTGCCTTTGAGTTGTGTTGGAGAAGACAAGTCAATTTCCTCTGACTGCCAAGAGCAAAAAAAACTGTTTTGGAGAAAGTGCAACCTAGGTGCTCCTTAGAGGAGAGGATAACAAAGCTTTAGTTCATCTCTCACATCCTTTGGCCATGTTATTAGGAGGGGCCAGTCTTGGATATCATATTTGGAAAGGTGGAGGGTCAACGAAAAAGAGAAGCTCAATAAGATAGATAGGCACGGTGACTCTAACAATGGGCTCAAGTATATTGGGAATGATGAGGATGGCAAAGGACAGGGCAAATTTCAGATCCTTTGTTTATAGAGTCACTGTGAAGTCGTAAGCGACTCAGTGGCACCTAACAATAAAAATCTTGTCTATCCCTAAAATTGACATTTATTGTATATTGATAAATCAAGTTTTATTTCATAGAATTTATATTATCTGTGCCTCACCAACTAAAGTGCAGATTTTGCTAGTCCTCATGATTGGTATTTAGCTATTGCCATCCTTGGAGTAGCTTACCTAGAAGAGTTTCTCTTTCATTTTATTTTTTTAAAATTTCTATTCATTTATTGTTGCACACTTTTCTCTCTGCCCCCTCCCCCACATCCCCCAGTTCTCTTTTTTCTTTGAAAAGTAAAAAAAAAAAATCATATCATTCTTATATAATTCCCCCCTCCCAGTCTACACCAACTATGCCCTTTCATTCTGGATTCTTGTCATGACAATAATACCTAATCATATATTTCTCCTAAACAGTTCTCTCCCTCATCTGTTTCAATGCAGTATACATTATTTATCCCCTCTCAGTTTCCCCTCAACTCTGATGTCAGTCCCACTTTACAACAGTGACATTATGCAATATTTGTCCTTTTGTGACGGAGATATGTCACTCAGCATAATGTCCTCCAGTGTTACCCATTTTGTATAATAATTCATGAATTCCTTATTTTTCAATGCAGTATGGTATTCCATTGTGTGAACATACCACAGCTTCTCCATTCATTTGTTGATGGGCACTTGGGTTGTTTCCAACTCTTTCCTCTTGTGAACAAAGCCGCAGTAAACATGAGTGAGCATATATCTGCTTGAGTAGCAATTCTGGTTTCTTTCAGGTATATTCTCAGTAGTGAAATTGCTGGGTCAAATGGTATTTCTATTTCCAACTTTTTGAGAGAGCACCATACTGCCTTCCATGGTGGTAGAAGAGTTTCATAACAAGATTGTATTTTATGGTCTTTCTAAAGTAATTATGTGAAATAGTATTACTAAAGGATTTAATGAAGTAATTTTTCCCCCTAGTATGGTTATGGTTGATTGCTAGAGGGATGGGTGAAATTGACTTACTTTTCACTTAAAGGGTGGCGAGTTCCTTAACTGGTTATAATTGTTTCCTCAGGTAACAGGAAATCCAGAAACTTTCAAAAGAGGCCTTTTATTCTCAGCTTTGACTTATTTGGGTTTTGAAACGTATCAGATAATTTCTCAGACTGCTGTTGTCCATGCTGCAGCTAAAGGTAAGCCTAAGCCAAACAAATTTTTAATTTGTTTTTCACTTGGAGAGTGGTGGTATGGACATATTTTCATAGATGTCTCCTTGGAGGCTTAGGATTTTTAAGCTCTGCCTCACACACTTTGGACCATGTGGCCAGGAGGGACCAGTCCTTGGAGAAGGACATCATGCTTGAATGGGTGGAGGGACAGCGCAGGAGAGGAAGACCCCAGATGAAATGAATTGATACAGTAACTAGGGCAATGGGGGTACGTGTATCTGAATCAGTGAGACTGGCTCAGGACAGGGCAGGCTTCAGAGCTGCTGTACATAGGATCTCTAAGAGTTGCAGGTGACTTGACATGTAACAGCAACAACATGTAGCAATAATGAATGAGGCTAACAATGTTATAGACTAGATCATTTTTTGTAATTTTTTATTGGGATTTTAATGAAAGTGTAGGAAAAACTTGGATTTCCATTTATTCATTGTTGCACATTTTCCTCCCTACTCCCCCCTCCCCCCAGTTCACTTTTCTCTTTAAAAAAAGTCATTGTTGCAGTTTCCTCCCTCATCCCCCACTCAAGTCCACCTTGTTATGCATCTATTATTCTGGACTGTTGTCATCAAAATGATGCCTAATCATTTATTCTTCTTAAACAATTCTTTCCCTCATCTGTTCTAACACAGTGTTCATTATTTACCCCCTCTTTTCTTAGTTTCCTCCGTGGCATTATGCAGTATTTGTCCTTTTGTGACTCAGATATTTCACTCAGCATAATGTGCTCCACGGTCAACCATTTAGTATAATATTTTATTAGTTATTCCATTGTGTGAATATACCACAGCTTCTCTATCCATTCATTTGTTGATGGACACTTGGGTTGCCTCCATCTCTTTGCTATTGTGAACAACACAGCAGTAAACATGGGTTTGCATATATGTTTTCATGGAAGTTCTGGTTTCTTTAGGGTATATTCCCAGTAGGTCAATAGCTGGGTCAAATGGTTTTTCTATTTACAACTTTTTGAGAAAGCACTGTACAGTCTTCCATAGTGGCTTCACCATTTTACACTCCTAACAACAGTGAATCAGAGTCCCAGTTTCTCCACAACCTCTCCAGCAATTGTTGTCTGCTGCTCTGTTGAGCTTTGCTATTGTTACTGGGATGAGATGATATCTCTTAGTTGCTTTTAGATCATATTTTAATATTCTCAGTTTGCCAGAGATTGAGACTGCTATCTGTAATTTTCAGAAATTCAAGCTCTGTCAGTGATAAATAATCTACTAATACTGTATGCTTCTATAGATACCTTAAGCTGAGAATGGTTTTTATTAATTTTTAATTGAAGGGTTGTAGAGAAAGAAAAAAAAAAACACCTCTTGTGTTACAGAAACCACATATGACCAACAAAGTCTTAAAATATTAACTTTCTAAACCTTGGTGTAAACATGTTGACTAATTCCAGTGATAGAAAAGCATTCTTTTCTTTTCTTGATAACAAGAGATTATATTTTTCTTGGTATATTTTTTTAAATTACATGACGCCATTATTTTTTTAAAATTTTTAAATTTTATTTTTGGTCTCCTTTGTTGTGTCCCATCGAATCAGATCTGACTGGCACAGGAGGGGATTGCCCCTCCTTCTCCAGCAGAGCATCTGGCGAATTCAAACCATACACCTTCAGGTTTGCAGTACAGTTTCTTGCCACTAAGCCACCAGAGCTTGCTTTCTTGATAATAGTTTTAAACTTTTTAAAGTGTCATAGTGAAAATTGGGGCCTATATTTCTATTTGTATATATCATTTAGTTTTTATGTTCTGTACCGTTATAGAAATGATTGCAGAGATTTGTTACTTCTTTGAGCAATATAATAAAGATATTTTGAAAGACAAAGCCAGCATTTCTTTTAGCTTTAATTATAATAGTCAATTTTTATCACACGTCTGTTTTTTCTGGTACTGAAAAGACAACATTTTTTTAGTCTGGTTTGGTTTTCCTTGGTTTTGTTTCCTTACAAAATAAAGCCTTATTAAGGATAACTCATGTATTTTGTGAGACTATATGCCAAAATCTTTAAAAATTCATTAATGATTATTGATAGAAAATAGATGTCTATATTAATAATTTATTAAATTGGAAAATGAGCTACTTTTTTTAAAAGGTAAAAAGTAAAGATAGATTTATTAGAAAATTACATACCAAAAGGATGGACCTTACTCCTTATTTTTCTTAGTTTATGCTATTTGGCTTGGAAAGAACTATTTTAATTGTGTATTGGTTTGGTTTCTTTTTCAAAGTTGAAGAAATCCTTGAACAAGCAGATTACCTGTATGAAAGTGGAGAAACCGAAAAGCTTTATCAGTTGCTAACTTTGTACAAAGAAAGGTAAGGAAAATATAGTAGGTCTGAGTTTGTGCACTTATCAAAATTTTTGTGTTATTTACCAATTGGACTGGTCCATGGTCCTTGAAAGTAACATAATTATCATAGTTTTTACTTAAGAATAGTATTTCCTAAAGTTTTAATTGTATTATTATTTTGCTCTTGAAGACTCAAAAGTTCAGTAATTATTTCAATGGTTTAGAAAATTAGAGGTGTATTTTCCCTGTTTTTACTTTTAATCAGGCAAGGTGGTCATGGACGGCAGGTCTGTCACTTCTGTGATATTTTCACAGTCCTTTTGTTTAACACAGGGACCTCTGGTGGCATAGTCTGTAAGGAGTTGTGCTGCTAACCCAAAGGCGACAAGGCCTCTCTGGTGATTCAGATCCACCAGCATCTCTGTGGGGAAAGATTGGCAGTCTCCCATGTGACTTACAGCCTCTCTCACATTTATGTGTTTTATGGTAATGTCTGGGCTATTAAGTTAAAAGTTGCATGAAGCAGAACTCCAAAGAGGCCACATCTTTTGTATTGAATTGTGTTGTGCAGACTTTCAGAGAAATCAAATACAAAAATGGTTTCAAAGGAAATAAGTACTTAGAGCCAAGTTAATATTGTGAAAAGTATTATTTTAATAGGAAATTTTAGTAAAGATGTTTTTATATGAAAGATTATATCAACATCTTAATAGTAGTTTTTTGATACCATGTAGTTTGCTATATCCTCACTAATCTGAAAGAGGATGTATTGATGTGACCTTTAATATGTTAAAAATGCTGGCTACATTATTGATTTCTATTTTATTTCAAATTAGTGAAGATGCAGAATTACTGTGGCGTTTGGCACGAGCATCACGTGACGTAGCTCAGCTTAGTACAACCTCAGAAGAGGAGAAAAAGCGATTGGTGTATGAAGCCTTAGAATATGCAAAAAGGGCACTTGGAAAAAATGAAAGGAGTTTTGCAGCTCATAAGGTAAGATGCCTAAGCTGCTACCATGTATTGAGGGGTACATTGGATCATACTTACTATTTCTAGCTGACTTAAGAAAAAAAGTGGCTCTTTTTTAAAGACAGGGAAAAAGATTTATTTTTGTAACATCTGAGTAAATAATGGTGGTTGCTTTTTTCCAGTCCTGAAGTATATAGTTTAATTTTATGTCTGATAAATTACTTAGATAAGTGCTTGGTTTTAAATAAAAATATTAAGTTTCTCAAATTACCTTTATTTCTAGTTCTACAAGCAGTTGGCAATATTTCCTCATATTTTTCATCTTACATGTCATCTTATAATTGTTGTTTTTGTTTTTATGTGCTGTTGAGTTGCTTTCGACTCATAGCGACCCTATGTACAAACAGCCCTAAACCCTGCTGTAACCCTTGCCAATCTTACCATCTCTGACACACCTACTCCCATTATCCCAGTCACGGAATCAGTCTCATCGAGGGTCTTCCTCTCTTGCATTGTACCTCCACCCTCCCAAGCATGACATCCCTCTCCAAGGATCGGTCCCACCTTGCAACATGTCCATAAGTATGTCACATGAAGCTTCAGAATCCTTGCCTCCAAGGAGCAGCCTGGTTTAACCTTCTCCAGGACAAACCTGTTCATTCTCTTAGCAGTCAATGGTATATTCAATATTCTACTCCAACACCACAGCTCAAAGGCATTCTCCTTCTATCATCTCTAGTTGTCCAGCTCTCTGATGCATAGCAAGTAACAGTAAAGACCATGGCCTGTATCAGGCACACCTTAGTCTCCAAACGGACATTGTTGCTCTCTAGTACCTTGGAGAGGTCTGTGACAACAGACTTTCCCAGTGCAATATGTCATTTAATTTCCTGGCTGCTGGTGCCAAGAGTGTTGATTATGGAGCCAAGCAAACTAAAGCTATTAATAATCTCAGTCTCTTCAACCATCCATCCTGATGTTGCCAGGTGGCCCAGTGGTGAGAATCTTTATCTTAGGCTGCAGTCCTTGACCTTCTGCAGCAAGTGCCTCAGATCCTCCTCAATTTCAGCAAGCAGGATTGTGTCATTTTGCATAACGCAGATTGTTAGTGAGTCTTCCTTCAATTCTGATGCCACATTTCTCCTCATAGAGCCCAGTCTCCTGGATAAACTCTTCTGCATGTAGATTGAAAAGGTATGGAGAGAAAAAAAAAAAGGAAAAGGTATGGAGATAGGACATATCCCTGATGTACACCCTTCCCGATTTTGAACCTTGCAGTATTCTCTTGCTCTGTTCTGATGACTACCTCCTGGTCTAAGTATAGGTTTTGCCTTAGCACAATCAAGTATTCTGGGATTCCCATTTTTCTGAGTTAGTCACAGTTTGTTATGATCCACACAGTCAAATGCCTTTGCATAATCAATGAAACACAGATAAACATTCCTCTGGTATTCCCTGCTTTCAGTCAAGATCCATCTAACATTAGCTACAATATCCCTTCTACCACAACCCCTTCTAAACCCAGCCAAGACTTCTGGCAGTTGGTGTCCTGTTCCAGTCGGTTTTGGATAATCTTCAGCAGAATCTTGCTTGCATATAATATTAATAATAATGTTTAATGATTTCCACACACTGTCGGATCATGTTTCTTTGAAATGGGAACAAATACTGATCTCTTCAAGTCAGTTGGCCAAGTGGTTGTCCTCCAGATTTCTTGGCACAGTTGGTGAGCACAACTGGGACTGTAGCAGTTAGTTGAAATATGTCTTTTGGTATACCGTCAATTCCTGGGGCCTTATTTTTTGCCAGTTTTTAAAAAACAACTTGAACTTCCTCATTCATCACCACAGGCTCTTGTTCATATGTTGTTCCATGAAATTCTGTGTCTGCCAATTCCTTTTGGTACAGTGACTCTGTATATTCTTTCCATCTTCTTTTAATACTTCCTGGATCATTTAATATTCTGCCCAAAGCATCCTTAAGTATTGCAACTCGAGGCTTGAATTTGTTCTTCAGTTCCTTGAGCTGAATGAGTTTGGCCCCTTTGATTTTCTGACTAGCTCTTTGCACATTTCATCATAATACCTTTTTTTTCTATATTTTATTAATTTTCATAAACATTTACAGAAATTTTGGGTTTCCATTCATTCCTTGTTGCACTATTCTCTCTACTCTCCTCCCAGTTTGTTCTTGTCCAAATGCCACAGTGCTTGTCAAAGCCAGTTCTGAATAATCTTCTTTGTCAGTGTGTCCTTTGCCATT